GCAGCTGTATTGGAGCAGCACCAGGTGTTGAAATTGTGCATCCCTAACAATTTTGCACCCAGGGCAAGTAACCCCATGCCATTGCCGTGGGTAACCTGCATGCAAGATTTGAGACCAAGAGCATTCTCACTTCCTGTGCTTTCCTGTAACTAGTATTCAGAAGCATGGCTGCCTCTAACTATGGAGGCAGAGCCTAGCCACCATGGCTAGTGTTAAGTTGTGGGTGAACATATCAGACGACACAGCGATTCTTCAAACAGCGCTTGTTTATTCACAGGCCAGAACAGAACTGAACTGAAGGGTTCAGCCAGCCTGCTTATATAGAGCTCCAGTATAACGCAACTGTAACCACTTTCTGTAACTATCCAATCACTGAACGTCACTTTCAATCCCCTATTTGCATATGTGGACCTGACTGAAAACTATCTACAGTATCCCCCTGCTGGCCCAGGGTGAGAACTTCAGTACATAACAGCTAGTACTCTTCAATAGCTCTCTCCTCCATGATTCTGTCTAATTCTCTTTGAAAGCCATCCAAGTTGGTGGCCCTCACTGCTTGCTGTGGGAACAAGCTCCATAGTTGAGCTGTGCGCTGTGTGAAGAATTATTTACACACACAAAAAGAAGAAGAAGATTTACTTACTTTTCTATGCTGAACCTTCCAACTTTCAGCTTCGTTGGAAGTCCACAAACTATGAGAGAGGGAGAAAAACTTTTCTCTTTCCACTTTCTGCATGCCGTACATACCGTATCACCTCTTCCTCACCTTTTCTCTGAACAAAAAACTCCGAAATTCTGCAACCTTTCTTCATAGGGGAGTCACTGCATCCCCTTGCTCAATCCTATACACACTTCCTTGGAAGCAAGCCCCACTGAAAACAGCACGGTTTCCTTCTGTGTAGGCATGTCAGGCAAGTTATGCAGTGTTAGCCTAAGCATATTTACTTAGGAGTAAATCTCCATCACTTATTTTGGGTTTACCTCCTAATAAGTGTGTTTAGGACTGCAGCCTTAAAAGAGGTCAAATGAGACCGCCATTGCAATCATTATGACAATGTGTTGCCCTCCATATGTTTTTGGATTAAAGCTTGCATCTGCTGCATGATGGGAGTTGTAGTTCAAAATCAGGCAGGCACAACATTGGCTACCCCTAACTTATAGGATGTACAAGCAAATATAATCATGGTGATGAGTTTTTTTGTTTGTTTTGCCCACTATCATCTCGGGCTAAACAGGTTTTAAAGGTTTTGGTAGTACTTCAAAAACTATTTGGGCAGTGATTCCCTCTGCAGCTTTTAACACCACTGTAGTGAGAGGAGGCAGCAAGTGAATAATGATGAGCTGCTTCCAAATTATTAAGAAGGAAAAATCTGGTAAACTGAACTGTGAGGGATAAATTTAGCTTTTTCTCCTTATAAACTCCTCTCGCTAAAATTGCCTGGCACTGTACTGTTTGTACAACCCATGCAAGATGTCCCACCTTCCCAAAGAACCTAACTTTTTTTTTAAAAAAGGTAAACAATGTTCCCGATTGATATGCGCTGGCATCAGATAGGCTAAGCATGGAGATATCTGGTGAGTGTGTAGATGGGAGTTTTTCCAAGTGAAAGCTCAGAAAAGTGTCGAGCAACCTTAATGGGTGGCACACTTCCAAGGCGCTTTTTCACAAATCCACGAGGAATGTGTACTTATAATTTGCTCTGCTTTTTCAGACGCTGTAGTTCTAATACAATAACAAAACGTGCCGTGCACTCCTATGCATGTTTACTCAGAGGTATATTCAATTATGATGTTGTAGGTTTGGGTCAATCCAGAGTCCCTTCCGATTCTCGGTGTACTGTACCAAGTGTGGGCAGGGGCGTAGCTAGCGGAGGGGGCACCACAACGATCCGCACACAGGGGCACCACATGGGGGTGCCACAGCGATCCGTGCATGGGGGAACCGTGGCGAGCTGCCCACGGAGTCTGCCTGGCAGACGCAAGCCCCACACACCCCACCCCCGCGGTGTGCTATTTTGTCACCCCCCTCAAGGATGACACCCAGGGCAGACGTCACCCCTGCACCCCCCTTCCTATGCCCCTGAGTACGGTTTAGAATCCAATAGAGGATTCTATTATTGAACTAGTCTGGCTGTTTATGTTAGCCAGATTTAATACGTTTCCCTCGATGATCGTAAGAGGAAGATATTTAGCTCTCCCAGAAGCAGAGCGTCTCTGCAAATGTAGTAAACAGGAACCTGATACTTTGGAGCATATTTTACTTTTCTTGTGATTTTGGCATTTATGCCAGAAGACTATTATTAGAGGCCTTACAACTTAACAGGGCTCAATTCTATGCCACCATCGGTTCAGGACCTGCTCTCGGACAGGAATGATCAAATTACTTTAATAGTGGCTGAAATTTTGAGTGCTGTCCATGTAGAAAGACTGGGTCATTATAAAGAGATTTAGTGGTTCTTAATTGATCGGTGATGTGGTAGTGTTATATTGTATTATTTATGCAAATTGATTTTCTCTGGCGTTAAAGATCTGACTGGGACAAACCTTGTTATGCTGAATTCGTATTTTGCACAATTTGTATACGGTGTTTGTTTGATAATGTGTGGTTTGCTACGCCTAATAAAGGATTGACTTTTTAACTAGTCTGATGAGGAACATTCCTTGTTATTCACAAATGTGCCTAGAGAGCTGGTGTAGTGGTTAGCATATCAAACCGAGGAAAACTGTAGTCAAAATCCCTTTCTGTAGGGCCTCAGCTCTCTACGAAATCCACACACAAAGGCCTTCCTTTCTCCACAAACTGAAGTTAAATAAGTACTGTGCGTTCTGCAACATTTGTCCCCACAATATCTGAGAGCCAATTTTCCTATTAAGCCTTTCTGTGTCTCCCTTTCATCTGATTAAGTGCATTAGTCAGAAACAGATAGGATATTTGCCATTAACTTAATACGTATTTGTCACCCTAAATGATGTGTTTAGAATAAGGCTGCAGTGAAATTACACACCATTATAGATGACACCATATCAGAAATATTCTATACACAGATTAAAATGCACAAAGAGCCTTTTCTCTGCAGCTATAAAAGCCGCGGTTCCTCCCAGGCTTAAAGTGCAAAGGATAAACTAGCATTGTCCATTTTGTAAGACGAGAGCACAAGAAGCCCCCTGCTGGATCGGGGGGGGGTCCTGCTCTCCCTTTACCCTCCAAATTTCCATTTTCCAGGGACAGTCCTGGAATTTCTGAAGCCATCCCAGTTTCTGATCTGATCCCAGAATGTCCCGGATTTCCTTTTTTCCTCCCCTCCACATCTCGGAGAACAATTAAAAGTGGTGTGTTTGTATGTGTGTAGGTGCAAAAATGGAATCCTGTTTATACTGAAAATACTGGTAAAATCCTTGCACCAAATGAAGGACATGGTGAAGCTGGCATACAAAGCCCTTCCTAGAATTTTGAAGGAAAATGTCACCAATCCACTTTAAATTCATTGCTGTTGAGAAAATTTAATGTTCCCAACCCTAATCCTGCGGAAAGCCATCTAATTCGATTTTAATTTGATCCTGACTTGTTTTTAGGAGGAAATTTAATTATTGTTTGATTTTATACCAATGTTATATATTTGATGTTAGCCGCCCTGAGCCCAGTCCCGGCCGGGGAGCGCGGGATACAAGTAAAAGTTGTGTTGTTGTTGTTGTTGTTGCAATGCTTCAGCAGCCTGCCATTTTTAAGGAAATGTGTGGAGTGTTTATTTCTTTATTGTAAACGGACTTTTACACAGTCTACTGAGAAGTAAGTCCCACTGTATTCAATGGCGCTGACTCCCAGGTAACTGGGTAAAGACTGTGCAGCCTTACACAGCAATCCTAAGCATTCTTGCTTAGAACTGAGTCCCAATGATTCACCTTTGGTGGACATGCCCAAAGATTAAGGCTTTCTGGGAGATGATATATAATGAAATGAAAAAGGTATTTAAATATACCTTTCTGAAGAAACCAGAGGCCTTTCTCTTGGGTATGGTCGGCCAATTGGTGCCAAAGAAGGATAGAACATTCTTTATGTATGCTACAACAGCAGCTCATCGCAAAGTATTGGAAGTTACAAGAACTATCCACCTTGGAAGAATGGCAGATGAAGGTGATAGACTATATGGGACTCGCAGAAATGACTGGCAGAATCCGAGACCAGGGAAGAGAGACAGTGGAAGAAGATTGGAATAAATTCAAGGACTACCTTAAGAAACATTGTAAAATTAATGAATGTTAGAATGACGTTGGTTTAGAAATTATGTGGTTTCTAGCGGTAATGGCTAAGTAAAGAAAAGAAAGATTACAAAGTTAAATGAAAAATAAGGGTGAGGATTTGCTGAATTAATAATTGGAAATTGGAATACAGAAAGGGGAGGTATGAGGAAGTCAGGGAAGTAAGTTATAATAAAATAAGGGATTGAAATTATACTTGTTTTTGTTTGTTTGTTTTATTGTTCTGTTTTGCTTTTGTATAATCTTTGAAACTTTAATAAAAATCTTTTTTAAAAAAAATAGAACTGAGTCCCAATGAGTTCAGTAAGATGGTATGTTTCTGATCATTCTCACAGTTTCCATTACTACTGCTGCTGCTACTATTACTACTAAATTATTATTATTATTATTATTATTATTATTATTATTATTATTATTATTATACTTACTTACTTACTTACTTACTTACTTACTTACTTACCTTTTTCCCTGACAGAGACTCAAGGCAGCTTACAGCTAAAAAAAATTTTCATTCCATTTATCTGTTGAATAAATATACAATCCCTTCTCTCACACATTTTTTCTTTACAATAATCCTGTGAGGTCGTGAGGTTTGCTCAATGTGACAGGGGGAATTTCTGGAAGGCGGTGGATCTTCGGCAAGTAAACCAAGAAATCGTGGTTTTCTTGCATTTTCGTAAAAAACAGCTCACCAATTTCAGGGTGTTTCCTGGTTTTTACTTTTTGAAATATGGCAACCCTACCTTAGAGCAGCAGCTGACACAAGGACCCTTGTGCCTTCCACAGAGTCCAACACACTGATGGGTGTCTGCCCTCATGGACCCTTCAGGCCCATTGAATTTCTGCAGCCACAACATAGCTGGCATCCACCATTTTGTTTTTCCCACAATGCCCCAGACGTTGTGTCAGTCCATGCCATTGAGGGAAAAGAACAAAAATGGCATCCAGCCCCCCCCCCCCAACCAACACCTCTGGGACATTGTGGAAAAACAAAATGGCGGATGGAAGAAGGCTGTTACTCAGCAGAATTCTTATTCCTTACAGCTAAAAAGAAAAAATGGAGAACGGCTGCATATACATCCTACACATTTAAAGCAGTTTACCTCTCACAGAGCTATAATTCCCAGAGCCCTTATGATCTATTTTCTAAAATAAGCTCAACGACTACAAAAATACCTCAACAACTTTTTTACTTCTAGAAATATGGCAACCCTGAATTTGCAGTACCAAAAATCTAGCCCCCTCCCTTGAAACTTAGGGGACCCCCCCACACACATAGGGGGAGAGACAATGAGAATAATGTGCTAAGGGACCCTCAAACCTGCCCTGAATCTATTGATTTGCTTTTACCCATATACTGTACTGGTATTTATGCCCCTGTCCTGATACAAGTTCATGTTCTACATATTCTTCCCCATAAAGGACTGAATAGCATTTTCCAGGGAGGGGTGCAGAAACCTCTGCAGTGGTTGAACTGCAGAAAATAAGCAAGCTTGTTGCCCGTGATAAGCAGAAAACAGGCATAGATAATTACGAGGGTGGGGGGGATGGGGGACGAGGAGACATCAAGGCAGATACTTATTTTTAGATAAAGACTTGGAGAAGATTTATGGTACAATTACTATGAAACACCATTATCAGATTCTTGTGTCTGCTTAATAAAGTCCTTATTTTAGAATAATGTTTCCTAAACTTAATTTGTAGGGGCAGGAGTCATTAACCAGATAGCTAGACTGCATTTCATGGTAATTTTGCCCTATGCAAAGACGTATGTGCAGAATAATCACATTATGTATGTCTCGCATCTTGGTGTATTATAAGAACGATAAGAAGGACAGACACTGTTTGAACTTCACGTTGTTTCCCCCGGTTCATTGTTACAAATATCCGCCCCACACTAAATGAATTCATTATCTTCCTTATTCATGACCCTCAAATTTAGATTAAAGTCAGTCTAATTGCATGCCTTATCCATTCCTTAAGACCGTACAGGCCAGCTGCTCTCAGATCCTTCCTAAACTTGATGCTCTTGCCAGTTGGGGAACTATAAACCAACTAATTTTCGACAGCTCCCCGCCACTTTACCAATTAATTACTTAATTAATTAATGCCCAAAAAAAGAGGGGTTGGGGGTTCGAAAGCTGCATACTCCTCCCTGGTTTGCGCTCCAGATTTAATTTCCTTTTCTTTAATTTATGTTACTTTGTTTTTTTATTTCTGAAATAATACACAAACAAACAGAATTTTGTCTTTCAGGAGCAGGCAACTTTAGCAACAAGTGCACAAGTGACATTTGAAGTTAGAGTTGTACTCCGGGGGGGGCTGTTTGAGGGCCAGTGTGGTGTAGTGGTTAAGAGCGTTGGACTCGTAATCTGGTGAACCAGGTTCGCTTCCCAGCTCCTCCACATGCAGCTGCTGGGTGACCTTGGGCTAGTCACACTCCTTTGATGTCTCTCAGCCTCACTCACCTCACAGAGTGTTTGTTGTGGGGGAAGAAGGGAAAGGAGAATCTTAGCCGCTTTGAGACTCCTTCGGGTAGTGATAAAGAGGGATATCAAATCCAAACTCTTCTTCTTCTTCTCCTATTCAGAACTTTTGGCTAGGGGTTTTTTTGAATAGGAATTTTCCTGATGATATCAGATCTGTGGAAGTGAGGAGCAAGGCCATTTCAGCAGCGGCCCCCAGGGCCTTGAAATAAACTCCCATAGAAGGAAAAGAACACGCCTCTCATTTATTTCTTCTTGTGGGAAAACCTGAAGACCATTTGCTAATTCAGGCTCAGAGAGTGCAAACCTATGCACCAATATTCATTTATTTATTTTTTATAAAATATTTATTAGAATTTTTTAAACAACAAGAATAACATCAAACACATAAGAAACACAAAAAATCAAAGTAAGATTATAAGAAAAAGTAAGAATATAGAAAGAAAATACAGATAAAATAAAAATATTCATAAGTCATATTTTCATAAACTTTGGACTTCCTCACATCACCCTTCCCTGCATTCCCAACCATGTAGTTATATGCAGCAATTTGTTACCTTACTTCCATTCTTATTTTATAAATCTCAAATATTCAATTTCAGCTTTAGAATATATTGGTCTTAAATTAAACTGCTTATATTGAACAAAATATTGCTTCAAATTTCAACATTACCTTAAACATCACATATTCTCACATATCTTACAATAATTTTACTGCTGCCATGTTTCTTTCAATCGTGCATTCTCCTAGCATTCATACAATTTGTAGTGTTTTTGTAAGTAATCTTTAAATTTTTTCCAATCCTCTTCCACTAGCTCTTCTCCCAGGTCTCGAATTCTGCCAGTCATTTCAGCCAGTTCCATGTAGTCTATCAGTTGCGTCTGCCATTCTTCCAGAGTTGGCAAATCCTGTGTCTTCCAGTGCTTTGCGATGAGTATTCTTGCTGCTGTTGTTGCATACATAAAGAAAGTTCTATCCTTCTTTAACACCCCTTGGCCGACAATGCCCAGAAGGAAGGCCTCTGGTTTCTTAAGGAAGGTATACTTAAATACCTTTTTTAATTCATTATAAATCATTTCCCAGAAAGCCTTAACCCTTGGGCACGTCCACCAAAGGTGAAAGAATGTTCCTTCAGCTTCTTTACATTTCCAACATTTGTTATCGGGCAGGTGATATATTTTTGCCAGCTTGACTGGGGTCATGTACCAACCAATATTCAGAAGTAAGTGCCATTTACCGTTCAGTGGGGTTTACTCCCAGATAAATGGCGACAGGACTGCAGCGTTAGGAGAACTAAAATGAGGCTCCAGCAGAACCGAATGATTTTATGACTTGCTTTTATCTTTACTTTGCATTCCACTTATTTGCTTGATCATGCTGGCATTCGCAGCGCCTGTCAGGAGCTGCTTCAAGCAGAGAGGCAGAATATGAATATCTTAAGCAAATGAACAAGTAACTTTTGCGAGAGCTTAGAGGTGTGGTCTGTAGAGTTTAACTCATACAGATTTCTCACAGCAAGCTCATGCAGCCCTCCTGTTTCACCTCCTCCCCATTTGGATTCACACACTCCTTTCCTGGCCCTTCTCTAAATAGTGTTAATGGTGGTGCAACGTTATGTCTGTGGTTTATGGCAGGGATGGGGGATAAATTCTATTCGGTTGGCATTTAAAGGCAAACTTAGATACTTCACAAGGTACGAACCAAAGTTATCCAGGTGAACAAAAGTGTATATACCTATAAATGCATATCATACTGAAAACAACAAGGGACGTGGGTGGTGCTGTGGGTAAAACCACAGTGCCTAGGATTTGCCGATCGTATGGTCGGCGGTCGAATCCCCGCGGCGGGGTGAGCTCCCGTCTTTCGGTCCCAGCTCCTGCCCACCTAGCAGTTCGAAAGCACCCTTAAGTGCAAGTAGATAAATAGGTACCGCTTTATAAGCTGCGCTGGTGCAGGCTCGCCAGAGCAGCGATGTCACACTGGCCACGTGACCCGGAAGTGTCTGCAGACGGCGCCGGCTCCCGGCTTCTAGAGTGAGATGAGCGCACAACCCTAGAGTCTGACAAGACTGGCCCGTACGGGCAGCGGTACCTTTACCTTTACTGAAAACAACATTTGGAAATGCACTGCACATGGGGAAATTGCTTGCAAAAATGTGTATATTAGGCAAAAGTGCATATAAAAATGTGCATATTTGGAGAAATTCACGCTAAAAAGCTGGTCAATTTTTATGAGAACTTTTAAAAAAAAATATCACAAGCTGATGTGGAAATGGGGAGAATTGAACTTAAGAGTGGGAAATGAGAAACTGAGAGAAACCAAGACTGAGAGCTGCACCCATCCATTGCAGCAGCTGGTTATGCTGATACAGACATAATACTGGAGTTCCATGCAAAGACCAGCTGTGGGAGAACTCTGGCTCTCCAGATGTTGCAGATTCCAACTCCTATCAGCCCCATCAAGCATGGTCAATGGTCAATGGCCAAGGATCATGGGAATAGCAGTTCAGAAACATTTGGAAGGCCTAAGTTCCCCCACACCTGATTTTGACTAAACATTAGGTGGAGCTCCCTGATGGTGTAAGCTGTTTTGAAAATGGAACAGATTACCCCTGAAGGACTACCTCTCCTTCACTGGAAGTTTTTAAGCAGGTGCTGGAAGGCTACCAGTCAGGGATGCTATGGTAGATTTCCTACACTGGCAAGGGAATAAAGTAGATGACTTCACACCTCTAGGATTCTAAGGTTCCATGGACTTCCTACTGATCGTATAAACCCAATAGAAGGAGTGTGAAACAGTATTACTCTTAAACAATTACCCTTCTAATAAGCTTTGCCAGTCTCAGAACAATGGCAATTTATTTCTTGGTACAGCCTTCTAACGAATAAAAACCGGTATACAGTGGTACCTCAGGTTAAGTACTTAATTTGATCCGGAGGTCCGTACTTAACCTGAAATTGTTCTTAACCTGAATTACCACTTTAGCTAATGGGGCCTCCTGCTGCTGCCGCGACGCCGGAGCACGATTTCTGTTCTCATCCTGAAGCAAAGTTCTTAACCCGGGGTAATATTTCTGGGTTAGCGGAGTCTATAACCTGAAGCGTATGTAACCCGAGGTACCACTGTATTTTAATTTTAATGAAGAGCAACACAACTTGAAAGGCGTAATGGAGCAATCATTCACACTGCCTCAGTTAAAAAGCAGAGCTGAGATACAAAGGAATGGCAGGGAACTTTCTCATGAACAAAGAGAGAGAGAATCGCATTGTCACACAACCACATTACAGATATGAAAGAGGAAGGGACAAAGGAAAGCAGCACAAATGTAAGAATCATTCCATAATAAATGGGATGAAAGGAGAAGGGAAAGGTAGGTTGGGTAACACGAAATCTGTAACAGAGCTGAGCTTATGACAAA